CGGCCCATCCATGAGACAGCAAAAGCTGCCGCGTAGCTCTACCTTATTTGTACTTAGATTATGTGGGTGTATATTTATCAGCGCAGCTATTTTAACCATTATAAGCCAACGCTTGACTACTATCCTACCTGATGGTAAGTGGTGAGACAGCCGAAAACGAAATACTAACCTTTTTGTCAACTTTGGGCTCATCTAGGATATATTTGTAACAAACAGTGTCACACGTCACGCACCTTTGTCACTACTCTTCGTCATAGTTTGCGCCAGGCGTAAAATGTAATGTTTGCGTATATCAAATTAAGAAACGACGAAATTAATACGAACTTAATTACATTAGACTGGTAAAATAATCTTATTTGGGACGTGGTAGAGCGACGCTGCAGCTGTGTAATGACTGTAGCACGAATAGTACAGTTCGACCGGCGAAAGACTAAGTTCTCACAGTATTCTGATACTAGTATATAAACTTAAATTAAATTTTTAAAAATCTTCGAAATAAAAGAGCTGATGATCTTCGAACGGCTGAACAGATTTTCTTGAAACAAATCTAAGAACACTCTCGATTAAGATACTCTTCAAACGAAAAAATCTTAACAAAAATCGTTGGATTCATCCGTTCAGGAACTATGATGTCACGGATAGACACACAGATACACAGATACACACTAACACTTATAACACCCTTCTGCTTTCATCGGGGGTTAAATAGCAGCATCATGCTGTTTCATACAGTGAGTGAGAGACACGGAGACTAACGTAACGAGGCATTCCTTCTTAGGCCTCAGGGTGAAAACGCCTGTGCATTTTAATTCTCAATCAACCCTATAAATAAACCAATTAATCTTACATAAATAACTATTATTTTTATATTAAATGATAAATAAATTATGTAAGGATAATTAAAAATTATTCATATCAAAAATCTTCCAGTAATTTAACTTATAAATAATAATAAAAATATACTCTTTAATATAATATATAACTCATCATAAAAATTATAAACAAAAAATAAATTATATTCATTAATTATTAAATATATTAATAAACGAATTGTATAAAATATTGTTAAACCTGTAGAAAAATAATATAAAAGAAATCAATATACATATTTAAATCTCTTATTCTTACTATTTCTAAAATTAAATCCTTAGAATAAAAACCAGCTAAAAAAGGAATTCCGCATAAAGCTAAATTAGATATATTTATACGTATCTGTCTATGGCTATGTTTTTGCGTATAATCCAACTTGAATAACCTATATTAAATTCCATGCTGTAACTCTTCTTCTTCTATATCACCAGCATATATATTTCACGGCTGGACATTGGCCTATCTCATTATAGGGATGATTTTCTATTATCGGAGTGACGATCACAATAAGAGACATCTGGCACATTTGAAGCTGCTCTCCGTCGCCACTCTGGGAATTTTACATTTGATGTAAATAAAATGGCTTTACGTCAATCAGAGTACTGGAAATTTTACTGGTATTTCCATTAGGTGGACTGGTAGAGAATGCCTCTAAGCATTAAGTCCGCCCTCTCTTACAGAATAGATAATAGTACAAGTACCTCTGTATATTTTTTATATGGGAATGCAATAACAATTGTAATAAATAAATAAATATTCGCCTACGGAACGAAATAAGGTGATGGAAAAACACTTAAACAAAATAAAACTAGATATTATTTTAAGTTTTTTCAATACAACCATACTGAAATACGTTTTCAAACATTTTTGTGTATGGCAATTTTGTGCGGAAGTAAAAAGTTGGCGGTGTTTTACACCCGTGCTTCAGAAAGAAGACCCTCCCGTCATATTAGTCTATAATGAAGAAGGAAGAGAAAGTGCATCTGCGCTTGCGCACACACTTATGCACTATAATCCTGTCTTGCTTAGATGGCTAGACTCCATTGAGGCTGGCAGCACTCTTTTCATTCTGAGCTTAAAATGGCTGCTCTCGTATCTCTTAGGTCGAGTCTTAGTCGACTCTCACGACCATTATCTCCAATCTGCTGATATAACAAAATAGAACATTTTTTTATTCAATATAGATTTTTACATATTATTTATAAAATTTTTTTTTTCACTTGCCACTGGTTCGAAAAACACCGTTTGTTTTGAGAAGAACCAGCAAGAAATCTACCGAGATTACTTTTTTTAATATAAAAAATTACTATAATATGTACAAAGTATACAAATAACCGTGCTTTGTGGCATACCTTGGGGGAGGCGTATGTTCAGCAGTGGACTTGTGAAGGGCTATAATGTTGACGATAAATATTAAATATTAAATGATGAAAATATTCTATAATAATAAAAGAAGTTAATCATAGACGAGAGACTTGAGATAATTATAGTTTTGGAATGACAACAAATTACAATTTTTTTTTAATTTAGCACTTCCTATTCTTAGTGATGCATATATAACAACGTTCACAAACCTTGAATTTCCAATGGTGTCGCAGACTATGGCGATACACGCAGAATACTGCAGGTAATTAGTGACATTTCCGTAACTCACGTCCGGTTTGATGTGCAAAATTAAGTACTTTATTGAAGGCCATTCAACCGCTTGTAAACCTCATCTCTATGTATTGTTCCAGTACAGGAATGCTATCTTTGAATAATCATTTTAATAGTCATCAAGTATATGCGAATTTCTAAGCTCTCTTATCTTATATGGAAGTATATAAAATACCATAATTAATATAAGTACGAAGGCTCTATTACTTGGACGACTGCCACGAATAGGGATGAAGTAGGCACTAGTCCAACGCTTCCTAGTACACCGACTATATTACCTTCATATATTTGCGGTATACCTAGTGCCTTAGTGCAGTTTGGCTGCGTACACTCATCACGAAGTGCATTCGCATTCCGACCTTTTCTACGAAATATATCAGAGGCAATGACCCCAAATGGTCTTTAACCAAACAATAAACGTCAAAGTCCAAAATTTATTATTCCTTTGCCTCCATTACATTTTTAATTAATTATCCGTAAACATTTGTTTCTTCTTTTTTTACATTCGACAACCGTGTGTGGAGTGGAGTGCGTTTGGAATAGGAATTGGGCATAATTATAAAAAATTAATTCGCTTTAAATTCATGAATATCAAGGGCGAGTATCCACAAAGAAGTGTCCGTGTTGTTCAAGAAGGAAGCACTAACGGCGTAGTAGCTGTGAATCTGTACCGCGGCGACAATGTTGCCTGCGCAGCTTCTCGGATGTCGAGCTAATTCCGCGCGCCCGCGTGGAATCGCTAATCAAACCCATCAGTATTCTGTTAGCAACCGATGTCCAGTACGCGATAGCAAATCGCTAAAAATACGAGATACTACAGGAAGGGCGCCTCATGGCCGACATGGCCTTACTTGATTCACATAATACAATCATCGAATATATTAATTCCTGATTGAAGTTTGATGTGTCAGTCATTATCATATTGATGCATAATTAGTAATTTTTTCGTAAAATATCAGAATAAAATAAAAAAACCACTGGATCTTATTTAAAATTTTATTAAAATCCGTAATAAACTTCACATAGCTCTTTAATCTTATTTCTACATAGGAAGACGACATGTGTATTGCTAATTATTAAATAACAAGCTAAAAAGTAACAAAACCACACAAAATTTGGCAGGTGAATAGGATCGAAAGATATTGTCGATAATAACGCTACTTCGTGGACCAATACTGTTCAATCATATTGCTACGCGTGTAAAGAATTTAAAAATATTTAAGTCTTGCAGTTTATGTTGTTGAGACCTGGTAAGTCAAGGAAGCCTCTTTGGAAGACATCAATATCAGAATTTTCCCGTATTCTCTCAGTAAGCGCCTTCTCCTGAGCGAGTGGATGCCACGCACCCAAAGTGCAAGCGGTATCGGTGCGGGGTGAGTGGTAATGACATCTCCGTGTGGCCCTGATCGATGGCACGTACTCGAACACGCGAACACGATTGCAACGGTGTAATGCAAACCAAACACCTGGAAACATGCATGTCATTCGTATTACTACCTATCTGAGTTGCGATTTGTTATTATTTAAACATATGTACATGTTTCATATAAGAAATGCGAACAAAAATAAATATAATATGTAATAATATGTCTGTGAAAACTGTAAAAAATATTATTATTATAAAAAAAAAAACATTTTAAATTCACCTATGAGAAGATTCAGAGACAATTGGGTATTTAAGAGTTAGAAAACTTTGTTGCCGCTTGATTCCTCATTAACAAAACGGGTTCGAGTCGTTCTTTCGAATTAATCAAAACATGAAACATATTGTTTCGTTCCGGAAACAAATCAACAATCTCCCGTGATATATTGGTGATATTTAAATAATAATTAGTGATAGGTGATAGATAATCACATCTACAAATAAGGAATAAAAAATGTGAAATTTAATAAGCTTTTAATGCGTGATTTTATAATTTATGTCACAACTACCACAATACACAATATAACACAATGTAATAAAACTAAAGTCCGGCCCGATATATGACCAAATTCAGAATATGTGCGCGAAGTGATAGAAAGTGCTTAATGATATATTTATGTCCGCCGTTTTGATGAAATTTTTATGTGCGTTTGATGAAAAATCCAAGGATCAATCCTTAGATAGTTTAGATTGACATTGAACCCGGTAGGAGGCGCTGTTGTCGAGGTACAGAATTTACCCGTGCGAAGCCAGGGCGGATCGCTAGTATAAAATGGAAGCATATACATATACTTTTTCAACATTAATATATTTAGAATAAAAGTAAAATTACAGTCTATAAATGTTTTTCATAAAATAACAAGCGAGCATACAGTCCACCTGATGGTAAGCGGATACTGCACCCCATAGACATCTACCTTCGATTAAAAATCAAAATGCAGATGCGTTGTCACCCCTGAGGACTGAGATGGAATGCTCCGCCATTAAAAAAGATCTCCGGTTTCCACTATACGAAACACAGCAGCTTTAAACTTCTTTTTTTTTATTATTTGACGCTGGTATTCTGTGAAAGCGTGATCCCACTTCGGTCGAGCAGACCCACTCATGCTACAACCATAATATAGCAGCAGCATGACTCTACCACGTGTAAACTTTCTCATCTTACCACAGATGAGAAAGTCAATACATCATCATCATCATCATCATCATTACAGCCCTTCACAAGTCCACTGCTGAACATAGGCCTCCCCCAAAGAATGCCACAAAACACGGTCCTGAGCCACCCGCATCCATCGACTTCCTGCATGTCTTACCAGGTCGTCACTCCATCTCGTGAGGGGACGCCCTACACTTCGCCTACCGGTACGAGGCTGCCACTCGAGAACCTTTCTTCCCCATCGGTTATCGGTTCTTCGAGCTATATGGCCGGCCCACTGCCACTTCAGCTTCCTAATCCGTTGGGCTATGTCGGTCACTCTGGTTCTACTGCGGATATCCTCATTCCTAAGTTTATCACGCAGAGAAACTCCGAGCATAGCCCTCTCCATAGCTCGCTGAGCGACCTTGAGCTTCCTCATACGGCCAGCAGTGAAGGACCACGTCTCAGTTCCTTAAGTCATCACTGGCAACACGCACTGGTTGTACAATTTCGTTTTAAGGTTTTGAGGTATGTCTGACGAGAAGATGTGTCGTAGCTTCCCGAACGCTGCCCAGCCGAGTTGAATCCGTCGATTGACCTCTCGGTCGAAGTTGGACTTACCCAGTCGGACTATTTGTCCCAGGTAAACATACTCGTCAACAACTTCGAGCTTAGTGTTCCCAACAACTACCGGCATAGGTGTGACATGGACATTAAACATGATCTTAGTTTTGTCCATGTTCATCTTAAGACCTATCCGTTGGGAAACACTATTGAGGTCATTGAGCATAGTGCTTAGGTCCTCCAGCGATTCTGCCATAAGGACTATATCGTCGGCAAATCGAAGGTGAGTGATGTACTCGCCATTGATGTTGATACCGTATCCTTTCCAGTCCAGAAGCTTGAAAACGTCTTCCAATGCAGCGGTGAAGAGTTTCGGGGATATGACGTCACCCTGTCTTACACCTCTCTGCAATTGGATAGGTTTCGTACTCTGGTTCTGTACTCGGATAGCCATCGTAGCCCTACTGTACAAGCACTTCAACACTTCGATATACCGACAGTCAACTTGGCACCGCTGAAGGGACTGCAGCACCGCCCAAATTTCGACGGAATCAAAGGCTTTCTCATAGTCCACATACGCCAGACATAGTGGCAAATTGTACTCTTCGGACTTCTGTACAATTTGCCGAAGGGTATGTATGTGGTCTATGGTGCTAAAGCCCTTTCGGAAACCGGCTTGTTCGTGAAATTGCAATCATCAACATTTATCAGTACTGAGGCTCGTACTAGGTCTGTTCGTGTATAATGATTTCTTATATTCATCTTATCCTTCCTTCCTTAAAAAACCTTGAATCCATAAAACTATATAGTTTTATTTAAATATGTTCGTGTACTTATAACATTTTAAATTACCGTCAATGGTAAACTACATAACCATACCTATAAAACCTGAAGAAGGTGGATTCCTTCTTAGACGATAGGGGGATGAATCTTGTAGAACGGTCCAAAGACCCCACAATACTTTAGGGTATAGTAAATGTACATCCGCTTGCGGTCTGATTTCAAGCAATCTGTGCAAAAACAATCATTATTTGAGGAAAAAACATAAAAACAATATAAAGCATATTATTTCCTGAACATACCTTTTGTAAACAGGAAAAAGAGTGAAATCGGGGTGATGATACCATTCGTCCAAAGTGGAAGAATAATTTGCCGGGTCCCATATTAATATCGAAACTCCATTATACAAAGGATTGTCCAAAAAATTATACTCCGGCTTTGTGACAACCTGAAAGTAATCAATTTTACATTTTTCACATTTCAAAACAATAGCGAGCGCTTATGATCACTTCCGCAAACTGCTCTGGTGGTTAGCCGCTAGAAGATTTGAACTCTAAAAGCCAACGATGGCAATTAGCAATCCATTATCCATCCGTTACAGCCTATAAAAGTCTACTGTTGAACATAGGCCGGAACGATATGATCTAATGGATATTCTTGCACCACCGCTGTATAAAAAGAGAGTGATTTTACAAACCTTCAATAATTAATGAATTAATATTACATGATTTATTTTGTACTCGCTGTACCCCGCGACTTCGCTCGCGTGTACTTTGGTTGTAATTCTTTTTACGCGGAACCTTTCTACCTAAATTCTTTTTACCGGAAAGTTACTCTTTATATCATTAGCTATCTGCCAGTGAAAGTCCAGTCAAAATCGGTTCAGCCGTTTCGGAGATTAGCCGAAACAAACAGACAGACAGACGGACAGACAGACATACAGACAGACAGACAAAAATAAAAAAATGTGTTTTTGTTATAAGTACCGTATATACATTTATATGCATTTAGTAAAAAGCTGTTATTTTGACATTACAAATAGACATTTCAGTTATATTTATTTGTATAGATATGCTGTGTAGTGACGGCGTAAGAGATTACAATACACCGCAATATCTTGTAGGTGTAGTGAGGCAGGGCAGCAGTCGGGCAGCAGCATCTTTCTGATAACATCTGAAAATACTAAAAAGTACGGTTGCCAGTCGTCGCGCCAATTGCAAACATCCCTTCTATATGGCAATCTGAACATTAAGTTCAGAAGTTGACTTTCGATAGGCTGTAATGAGTGGAGGAATGAACTTTATAGCATGTTCTTTTCTACATACCCACATATTGTTGTTGTTTTGTTGAACGTCCATTTGTTAGTACATAATAAATATAGTTCATTATTCGACCAATTATGTATATTAAAAAACGCGGGAGCAATACGCAACAATTTACATAATATGAACGAATGCTTAGGTGAGATTTTGTAAATGTCTCTCACAGAATGATGATTTTATGTTTGAACTTTTAATCCCAGTGGATTACGAAACGTATGGCATATTACAGATGTTTTTTTTTAAATTATTTACTTAATTTTTTTAATCTGGTTTTGAAAATTCTTGAATACAGTATAATCGAGAATGTATGTCCTATGATTTAATTGCGTACCTATCTAGTTAATTGGACTACGCCGCCTGCATTTAATTAAATGCCCAAAGAAAACCTAGAGAAATCGTTAAGGTTTAACAAAGGATTGAGCAATGTTAAATGAAATTTTTACAATTTCAGATGAGGTTTCGTTTGATATAAGTCGTTTGATGGAATTCCATTTAATTATTCGTAGGTGAAATCACAGCAATCAGGCAATAAACCGCCCAATGAATAAAGTTCCGAAGAGACGGCCTCCAGTCCCCAGCGGCCCCGCTATTCTTGGCTACGGTGGCGACCATGGTAACGGCGGGGCAGGGGGTGCTAAGAATCTCCGGTGTAGGTTTGGTTGCCACCTAAAGACGATTCGACCTGGCAACATATAACGCACGCACCCTGAGTACTGACGAGAAGATCCTGGAGCTGGAAGAAGAGATATACAAGCATCGCTGGAATATTATAGGATTATCTGAGGTCCGAAGAGAAGGGGAGGACATGGTAATTCTAGAATCCGACTACTTATTCTATCACTGGGAGGGCGACCATCTGTTCCGAGGAGGTGTCGGATTTATCGTTCATAAGTCGCTCGTTAACAACGTTGTAAAGATTGACAGTGTGTCAATTGAGGACGAGACGAGGGTTGCGTACCTTATGCTCAGAATTACCAAACGGTATTCGCTGTAGGTCATACAGGTTTATGCAACAACCTCGGCACATCCCGATGAGGATGTGGAGGAACTGAATGAGGATATATCTAGAGTCATGCATTCCTCCAAAACCCACTATACGGTTTTAATGGAAGACTTCAACGCAAAACTAGGCACAAGAGAGAACGGTGAGCGGAGGGTAGGAAAATTTGGAATAGGGCAACGGAACCCAAGGGGCCAGCAGCTGGCCGACTTCATGGAGAAAGAGGGACTCTTTATGATGAACTCTTTCTTCCAGAAGCGGCCCCATAGGAAGTGGACCTGGTTGAGCCCCGACGATTCGACAAAAAATGAGATTGACTTTATTATGACAACCAGACAACAACTGTTCAGTGGTGTCTCAGTGATCGCGAGGGTGAAAACTGGTAGCGATCACCGAATGATTAGAGGCACACTGAACCTAAACATTAAGTTGGGGAGGTCTCGTCTAACGAAGTAGACGCTCCGTCCCCCTCGTTCTCTAATCCAAAGTACCAAAAACTTTTAGCTCGAGTTACAAAATCGTTTTCAGTGCCTAAAAGATTGCGATGAAGTGGACAATATGAACGACAAACTCGTGGAAACTGTACATGCGGTTGGAGCTAAGTTTTGCTAGACCCGCCGCCGAAGAACACAAAAACTCTCTGATCACACTCTTAATCTGATGGCTGTTAGACAGGAAATGAAGCTGCAGTCTTAAGCAGATTTGACAGCGTACAAGCAACTAAACAGACAGTTCTCCAAATGCATGCGGTGAGACTTACGCAAATTCAATACAGCTCGTATTAAAGAAGCGATCGAGCGGAACCAGGGCTCCAAAGACTTTGCTAGAGATCTGTCTGCAAGAAAGAGTCAACTGTCGAAGCTGAAGGCCGAATGTGGCAGCATCGTTTCCGAGACACCTGAGATTTTGAGTGAGATTGAGAGGTTCTATGGGCAATTGTACACATCATCGTTGAAGCCACACACAAGTGTGAGTAACAATCCAAGAGGAAGTCTTATCCGCCACTATTACGATGATATTCCGGACTTCAGTCTGAACGAGATTGGAATGGCTCTCCAGCACGGCAAAACGGCAAGGCCCCTGGCGAGGATGGAATTACAGCGGAGCTTCTGAAAGCGGGTGGAAGACCTGTACTTGAAGTCCTTCAGAAGTTCTTTAATTCTCCTCCATGGCGGCATTACACCGGAGGCGTGGAGCAGAAGTATGGTGGTCTTGTTCTTCAAGAAAGGTGACATCGCCTCGCATACAGACTCTACGATTTCCAGCCCCCCGAACAAGCCGGTTTCTGAAAAGGCTTTAGCACCATAGACCACATACATAGCCTTCGGCAAATTGTACAGAAGTTCGAAGTACAATTTGCCACTATGTCTGGCGTATGTGGAATGAGAAAGCCTTTGATTCCGTCGAAATTTGGGTGGTGCTACAGTCCCTTCAGCGATGCCAAGTTGACTGTCGGTATAATGAAGTGCTGAAGTGTTTGTATCCTCATTTCTAAGTTTATCACGCAGAGAAACCCCAAGCATAGTCCTCTCCACAGCTCGTTGAAAAACCTTGAACTTCCTCATCCCGCCAACAGTGAAGGAACGTCTCAGTTCCATAGGTAATCACTGGCAACACGCACTGGTTGTACAGTCTGGTTTTCAAGATTTTTGATGTATACCTGACGAGAAGATGTGTCGTAATTTCCCGAACGCTGCCCAGCCGAGTTGAATCCGTCGATTGACCTCTCGGTCGAAGTTGGACTTACGTAATCGGACTATTTATCCCAGGTAAACATACTCGTCAACAACTTCGAGCTTAGTGCTCCCAACAACTACCGGCATAGGTGTGACATGGACGTTATACATGATTTTTGTTTTGTCCATGTTCATCTTAAGACATATCCGTTGGGAGGCACTATTGAGGTCATTAAGCATAGTGCTTAGGTCCTCCAGCGATTCTGCCATAAGAACTATATTGTCGGCAAATTGAAGGTGAGTGATGTATTCGCCATTGATGTTAATATCGTGTACTCACCACTTGTATTTATAAAATTACATCAGTTGTAACTGTTAAACTGTTAACGGGGCAGTGGCAGAGAAAGTAATTAAATTGCTTTAATGGAATAGTTAACGTCTTTGCAATTCGTCTAAATGATTATCAATACTACATATATACCATTTTGTTGTTGTAATATACATAGCGTATTTATTACTTCATATAAGACATGTCTGTTATAAAAATGTCACAGCCTAAGTCATAAAAACTTTAAAATCTTACTTGAGAATTTAAGACACGGAATGTTGTTTTTGATCCCACGTCTTCTGTGAAATTCTCAGTGGGGGCGTTGTTGAATCTTAGAACCATATCATGTGAATCTGTGAACAATCACGCGAAAGGAATTTAGAATTATTTGGTGTAAATAAATATTGTAGGTACATATTTATGTATTGTATATATACGATATTATAATATTGTGGCATTCTTTTGGTGAGGCCTATTTTAAGCAGTGGACTGGTGAAGGGCTGTAATAATGATAATGATGATAATATTGGATATTGTACAAATATTGTTCATTTTCTTTTTTGAAATATTTCCTTTTTTATAACGTACATTCCACATAATATATTAGGCCCTTGCCTATGAAACTAACTTTTTCTGATACTGATTGGAAGTTCGGATACTTTGCATCCGATTTGGGCTTTCATATTCAAATTATTGTTATATGAAAGCAATTGTATGGTATGACGGTGTCAGAGAATCCATCATCACATTTCATCCTATGGGTGTCGTAAGAGGAGACTATGGGATAATGCCAGAGAGATCTTGATGGTTTTCTATAGATGGCGGTACAGCGATCTCTATACGCCAGGCGTAGAATATCTAGTCCGGCGATGGGGAGCAGCATCAAAGATACAAGACCTCTAGTGCTGCGATCGCCAGTCTGACTGCCAAGTGTGGCGATTAAGGCAAATCCTCCCTACAACGGGAGTTATCCATCTCCAGCAGTGGACTTTAACTTATTTTTTATAGAATAAGAGTGACAAACGATCACACAGTCCACCTGATGATAAGTGGTTGCTGTGGCCCCTAGACATCTACAACTATCCTCGTTTGCGAATTAAAATGCAAATGCGCTGTCAGGCGTGAAGAATAAGATGGAATGCCTCTTTTCCAGTAAAAGGGTCTCCGGTTCTCTACACTCACCATACGAAACACAGCAGCATTAAGCTGCTATTTGACGCTGGTATTCTGTAAGAGCGTGGTCCTTCTCCGGTCGAGCCAACCCATTCGTGCTACAACTATATATTATATAGCTGCAGCATGGCTCTACCATATAACAGGCTGATGAAGATAATACTTTTAAAATATCAGTCGTTGGTTTCTTCTCCGTTCATGTTTTAACATAATTATGTATGCGACCATGGAGAAATTGAAAGTTCCCGTCGTCCACATAAAAAGTAATATTTCTAAACTCTCTATCATCCAACGCAGACCTCGTTTCGGTCGATTTCCATTTTTTTTTTTAATTTGATGAAGTTTACAGCAAACAATTTTCAACTCTGATGAAGCGGCGAATCGCCTTTAAAGAAGTCATCTATTCCCATATACAATATTTCAATAGCTCAGCAGCAGCAGCCAGCAGCAGGTATATTTGACTACAAATACACACCGTCAAAATACCGTACAATTTATATAGAAATTTCATGTTGTCCGTTGATAAAAAGTATTACTATTGACACGACTGTTCTCCTATTGGAAGGATGAACTATACTAACCTGTTAAATTAAAAAAAAAAAACTATCTTCGATTTTATGTGTTGTCTGCATTTTTTTATTTAAAATAAACGTAACGATAATCTTATAAGGACGATATAAAAGAAATCGACGTTTATAGAGATTGTCCGTTGATTCCCATTACTACGATGCGCACAGTATAATTGCTAGGCGCACAAGTATGGCAACTTTTCAGCTATAAAACTATACAACTACACTAATATATAGCTACACAACTATATTTTTTCCCGCCAAAAATTTTTCCAAATTCTGGAAAAGTATAAGTTTGTAGGCTGGTTAGTACGGCGGATGACAGAGAGCTTCCAATCCCAGCTCCTGTAACTTGAAGACCGTCTGTTGTGCATTATGAGGTCGCGCGTTGTCGTGCTGGAGTGGCGGGGACGGGCGATTGACGACGTGCGAGCTTCTCCATCATTGTGTTCAGTTCTTCACAGTACAAATCCGAAGTAATGCTCATCGTGTTTGGTAAGAAGCTGTGATGAATCACACCGGCGTTAGACCACCAATCAGTGACCATCACTTTTCTAGGCGTAAGTTTTGCTTTAGAGCATGGTTTAGATGCTGAAGTTGAACGTGAACCAACTTGCTGAGCGCTTGCGATTGTTAAACAGAACAATGCGGTTCAAAATTCCTTCGTTTGTGTGTCTGTTGAACAGTGCAAGGCGCGTCTCGACGCCTACTTCGCGCTAGCGACCATTGAGTTCGTGTGCCACCCATTTGTCGAGCTTTTTTACTTTACTAATTTGACGCAAATGGACCTATGAAATGGATGATGGAATAATATAGTACAATTACTGATGTTAACGTCGAAAGTTGCTACTAATTCAGCCGTAGATTGAGAATCATCAGCTTGCACAATCGCCTTTAATTCGTCATTGTCGACCAAAGTTTTCGGACGACCAAGGGATTCATTTTTAGATCGAAATTTCCAGAAAGAAAGCGGGCAAACCAATAACAGGTGGTGCGTTCGTTCGTAGTATTCGCTCCGTAAACGTCGTTGTTCTTGCGTGCGCTTGTGCTACGTTGCTGCCATGACGGTAACCGCATGAGTAGAAAAGCAATATAGCAAAGCTTTCATATGAAATTAATTTGAATTTGGAATTCCAGGGTAAATGAAAAACATTTAATTTCAAATTTGTCACCATTAAAAATGGGAATATCAAAGAAAGCGTTACAACTTTCAGAAGTCTACTGCTAAACATAGGCGTCCCCATAGTGGAGTCTCTTACGCTGCCACTACATTATTAATTTCATAAACAATCGCATATTTTCTACTTATTACAATTATGTATTGAATATTATTATTAATTATATATTTTTAAGCAGCCTTCGTTATTTTATACATAAATATTGAAATGAAAATGTCTGTTTCAAAATGTCTTTTTCTTTTGGTAGAAACATTTATCCATTCTAGAACAGAACACGAGTATAACACATTGTATTACTAGATCGAGTGCCTAGTCATGTTTATGACTGTCCGCGTAAGGCCCTAATCTGGCCTCACACAGGCAGCAATGAACATGAATGAAACGAACAAATGCAATGCATAATTAAAATACTGCACTTTTTTTATTTCCTTCATACATAAATATACATGTAGAGTATGTCCCTGACTGGTTATATGGCATCACAATATTGTAAATCAAGTTAAAAAATGTGCGTGTCAGCTCCGACGCTTGAGTGCAGTTTACTACTGAAAAGCGATTGTTTTAAAATATATACAACAGACAAGGGAAGTAAATGATCCTGTATATTTATTTATATTAATTTGATAAAAATAAATATATAATATAAATTTTCTTATTTAAAAATATATGACTTATAATTGAGTAAATGTATTTGTGCTTATAATATACTGTGACAATATTTTGTTAACTTTATTAACTTCACTCTATGTAAATACTCGTATGTTCGTTTTATGTTTATTTAAGGATTCAAATAATAGGAACTACATATATATTATTTAATATTTTTACCCAGTTCCTAATAGAAATTTTATATTGCGATTTTTATCGCTCATTCTTGCAAAAAGGGTTGAGCGGATTTAAATTAAAATTTGATAGAGAATATAGGTCATGGGATAATTCTTAGCCTAGAAAAGATCTGTTTGATTTTCCCCACACCTCCCTTACTTGGGTACCTATACGTGCAAAGTCACAGAAAAAACACTAGTTACCCAAAAATTTATTATACCATAGCCAATCTTTGTTTTGACATTTGTGTTGTTTAGAAAAGAAGATAATTAGAGGCCACTGCCATGCTTATATGGAGAGAAAAAAACATTTTATTTAAAACAAAAATAATAGTATATTGTATTCATCTAATGGTATAATATGGTAATACTCTCCTGGCCGATTATTGTCCACGACAACAAAAATTTTCGATTTCATGCGACAACACGTTAACGTATTTTATTGAATTTTAGGCGCTACTAGAACATACCTACGCGATTTGCGCTTAAGGCATGCAAAAAAAATGTCGTTGCCAACCTAAGCTAAGCGTGGTAACTATGGCAAATTTCCCCTTTATGAGAAATTCTCTGGGGAAGCCTATGTTCAGCGGTGACTTTGATAGGCTGTAATAAATGAATGTATAATGGTAAGTAGCTACTGCAACCTACGTTGGCTCAGCTCGACCAGGGAAGGAACACGCTCTCACAGAATACTAGCGTAAAATAGCAGCTTAACACTGCTGTGTTTTGTATGGTGAGTGTAGAGAACATGGACCCTTTTTCTGGAAACGAAGAATTCCATCTTAGTCCTCAGGGGTGACAACTGGCAACGTTTCTGCATTTTGTATATATTTAATGTATTTAAGTAGATTTATGTATATGTGCATCTGTATTAATATATGTACATTTTATGATATATGTACAGAATATCTTATATATATATATATATATATATATATTCGAGCTTCGTTACCTTTTTTTCTCATTATTAGTGTACTTTTGCTGCAGTACCTCCCATCTGTTTGTCTCTGCTAAGCCTAATGGTTCACTGGGAGAGAATGTTGACTGCCTTAAGGAATTAAGTCCGCCATATGTACGATTTTTCTTTTGTGCATAAAAGCTTAAATAAATAAATAAATTTTGATTCTTAATCGAGGATAGATGTAGAATGTAGATGTATATCATCCACAGCATCCACTTACCATGAGGTGGACTATGTGCTCGTTTGTCAATCTTATCCTATAAAAAAAGAGTATGTACAACTACAGCCAACTTCAAACTAAGAAGGCTACAGATGCTATTTTGCGGCAGAAATAGATAAGAGAGTAAACACATAAGGCAGGAACGGACGACTCCTTGGTGCAGTGGCTTAGCAATGAGTTGTTGCGCTGGGGACCGCGGGTTCTAATCCCGCACGGATCAAATATTTGTATGAACTAAAAATAATTGCTCCGGGTCTGGATGTTACCACGATACAAGAGAAATTCCTAGTGTGGGGGTAACGTTTTATTTAAAAATAAAAGAGGAGCCCTACAATCTAGTTATAATAGGCATGTATATCGTTCTTTAAATGATTTTAAAGAAAATTTGTTACGTTCTTTGATATTGCAACTACTTGTAACTTGGCAAC